ATCGTCCTTACCAACCATCCACTTTATATTACCATATAAGTTAACATGCGAGGCTTTTTTACAGTAGTTTAGTCTTTAGAGGTTAGCTGACTGCTAGCTTAGTTTAGCTCTGTTTCTATGGCTTAGCTCAGCTTAGCATACTCAGTGTTTCCATTATTAATTATTATTTTTTATCTAATTGACATAATGAACAAATGGGTTAATAATCAGGCTGGTTCCAGATTGAATAGATTACACACAGCTTTGTTTTTAAAACGCAGTACTTTATCATACAAAATACAATAATTACCCTCACCTAGCAACACTGCTAGCCAGATTTAGATTTAGATTAATTAGAAAATCATAAATTAGAAACGATTGTTTTGTTTGTTACCTTATTCTAGTTCTTTGTTAAAGCTCTTTCTATTGGTTTAGCTAGCCTTGTGTGATTCAGCTTGGCTTCAGTAAGGCTATTTAGTTACCTTTTGGCTTCATTTAGTTTAGCCTACTTACATTTAGTTAAGTTTAGTTGAATGAGTTTAGCTAGTGCTAAATTAATTAATTCATTTAATTGTAGTTTAATTAGTTAAGTTTAATTCATTAATTCTTAGTTTATATTGGTTTTCATGTAGTGAGCCAAGTTTGGTTTAATATTTTAACTTCTTTAGTTTAGTTCTTCGGTTAGTTACTTTAGTTTAAGCCTAGCTTCTTCAAGTTAAGTTTTAGTAAGTTTAGCTATTGTTTTCATTTTTTACTTTAGCTTTTTAGTTTATCTCAGGTTTTTGCTTTGGTTTTGCTTTTAGTTAATTAAGCTAATTTGTTCCACTTTATCTTCGTTTAATGGACTATTATCACTAGTAATAGAATTTAGCCAGCAGTGGTTTGGTGTAGTTGTTGGTAGTTGTAATAGACATAGTAGTAGTGCAGTAGTTGTATCTGCTAGTGCGAGGATACATATGAGGCCGGTGGAGCTGGGTGAACAGGTTTCTCTGCAGACACATGTCGTGGACAGCTGCTGTGTCTGTTGCTGTCAGTCAGCTGGAGGCTGCAGCAGGATTAATATCTGCAGCTCCTCTCCACCTGCTGCCACTTGCAGCTGCAGCAGCCAATCAGCGTTCAGCAGCACGCCTAGCAGCGGCCAGCAGTGAACGACAACACATGCAGCGACTGCCAGCTCATCTCACACCTGGAAATAACAAGACATTTATAACATTATTAATATGTATAACTTGTAATTTTAAAGCATTAGATATGTGCAGTCTCAGATCACTACGACCAGACTCTGTCCTGGTGACGGAAGATCTGGTTGTGGTACTCACTGTGGTCCTGCTCTCTGACGGTCTTGCAGCAGCCGGTCTGCAAGGACACTCAGAGACACACAGCAGAGAAAATGGAGGCCGATCGTTCTGCCTCCACCTCCAGCAGCCTTCAGGTCACACTGAGATCAACGGCCAGGAATCTGAAGCTGCCGACGCCTTGACTGTGGACGATCACTTCCTCCCAGGAAAAACTAGAAACAGGAAGAAAACCAAAAACAAACGAAAAGTTTGAATTCAATATTTAAAATAGTTAATTTTTATGCATCATGTAACTAATTTAGCATTCTTAATCATAGTGTGGATTTTTCCATCTGTGTGGTGTAAAATTAGTCACTCGTCAAACTTTAAAATGAGAGCACTCCAAATATTTCAATTAAATATAAATATGTTTAATACAACATTAATGGATTAAGTCTACACCTTTCTGGTCATGGATAAAATCCATTTTTACATTAGTCTCTATTTTGAGAGTGTTTTTACTAACTTCATATCTTTTCATTTGTATAATTCCTTTATCTTAATTAAAAGAAATAAAAATAAATAAATACATAAAAAACTGATAAATCAATCAATGTCAATTTATCAGATTTAGTAACTCAAAGCATTGTGCATAGTCAACGCTGATAACCAACTGCCCAGGGGCCTGAAAACACCACACACACTGGCTCCATATCATTTGAGTCTACATAAAAAAAGTCTGGTTGTGTGTTTGTAACGCGTTTATAAAATGCTTTAATGTTTTCAGGTATACTAATTTACATTAAAACCTCAGGTTACAGATAATTACTGTCAGGCTGTAATTCAAACAATACCTTCATTAATCAATTACACCTGACGATTATTAATCTTTATATGATCCAGCTTAATTGTTCAAATAAAGTGACACAGAAACAGTAAGAAATAAACTCATTAATCACTGACGCACAAGTTCACAAATATACAAATTGCAGTTTGTTTGTTTGTTTTTTTCAACAACAGTTAGAATACAAGATGTTACGGTTTACCGCCATAAAAAAATTGGAAAATAAGCAAATATTTACATTTTCAGAATCGTTTTCAAGAAGCGAATAAATTATTAAAATTGGTGTTAATCAATTTTCTGCTGATTGAGGAATTGATGGTAGTATTAGAAGTAGCTGTTTCTGGGGAAAATAATGAAAACTGATGAAGTGGGTGGGGGTCAAAAGGGGCCAACAACCGATCTCTGCTCTTGGGGCCCACCAGGAAGTTAATCCAGCCATGTAACATACGTCACAAAAGTGCGTCATATTTTACCCTCCAGTACATGATGTGTCATGATTCTTAATTACTTTACTATTAATTTACTCTGCCGGACTCACTCTCTGCAGCAGCCGTCCACCGCAGCCGGAGGAGCCCTCTCTGTCCGCCGGGTCCCACACCACCAGCCGCCCCCGGACCCGAGATACAGCCGAGCAGGAGCCTCCACGGAGCGAGCTGAGCCTTGTGGATGTCCTATCTCTCCACAGTGCTGCGTTCTCCGGGATCACAGCCACCTCTATTGAGTCACTCTCCCGCCGCTGAGCCGCCTCCAACATCTTTCACGCGCTGAACGCGACAGTTGTAAACAGCCTGGGGGGGGGGTGCAGGGGGGTGCAGGGGGCTGAGAGGGGTGAGGTGACGTTCAGCGACAGGAGCGACGACACCTGAACATGGATGTATCAGAGACCATCAGAACTACTTCGGACATTTCTTCCTGTAAACAGCAGGCTCGGTCACGTGTCACGTGCCCTCCTGTCAGCTGACTGAAGCTGACCAATAGAAAAAACGGTTAGGAGAAACACTAGGAAACAAGTCAACTCAAATCGAATGACGATGTTGGTTTACTGATCACAACTCCAAAAGGTAAATCACATAAAATTGAAATTCATGAGAAAATTTAATTGAGTTTAAATAGGAATAGTTTTGTGTTAATTGTCAGATATTTTATATTCATGTTATTTTCATTATTTATGTTTTTATAAAGTTTTATAGTCTTTTCTTTTTTGTATTGTTAATGTGATTATCTGACTCTGTTGCTGTTGTCCATAATAAACGCTGTTACAGCATTAAAATAAAATAAATAAAAACCCTCAAAGTTGTGAAAACTGAATTTTTAACAAAACTGATTTAATTTTATTTGTAAATGTATCTCTTACATTTATTTACTTGTATTGTTTGCATGATGCTGCAAATTTATGGGGTAAATGCAATTGCTGATAATAATATGTTTTTATTTTCATTGGTAACAATTTACAGAATACAACAACACCAGTAACATAAAACAAACTAAATAAAACAGTTAAAAATCTAATGAATAAGACCATATTTGCTAATAAATAAGACAAAAATAAATAAAACATTTTAAAAAAATAACAGCATTTTCAAATAGCTATGTTCTTTTTATTTTGAGCGATAGTAGAGATGCTATGGCAGCAACATGTGAGGCTACATGGGAAAGTGGTCTCACCACTTTGACACCACTGCTGTATATAAACTAACCCTATACTGAGAGTGTTCCTAATATTTTGCCATCACCATTTATTGGAAATCAGATTTTGACAAAATAGGCTCAAAAATAATTTTGAGACTTATAAAGTTATGTTTACAAATAAAATTCCAGATATTTGTAGTTGGAAATCAAACTTTGTAAAACCGTGGAAAATAAATCTGCATGAGAAATTCAAGTTTCTGGTATGTTGAAAACAAATTGTGCTTGTGCGCAACAGAGCTTTGTATTTGTTGAGACTGTTGGATCAAAAAACTGAACTAATGATCCAGTGTGGTTAAACAACAGACACAGGGAAAGAAGAAATGCTTTAGTGGACATCTGTGCTGCAGAGATAAAGAGCAGAAAACTGTCAAAACTCAGTGCAGCAACATTCCCAGTGTGAGACACTGACAAGGACAGATTTTGATCCTTGTCACTTCAGTGTCACTGTGGAAACTTTTGACCAGAGTTTTACTGTTTTCTCTGTATCACAAAACAGATGTTACAAATCCATTTCCTCCTTTTACAGGTGTCTTTCTTTAACATTGATCATTTGTGGAGTTCTGATTTCAGACTGTCAACAAATACAAATCTCTTCAACACAATGTGCAATTGTTTCACATACGCAAACTTGAATTTCTCCTGCAGATTTATTTTACAGGTTTACAAAAAGTTGATTTACAACTACAAACATCAAGAAAACTTCTGAAACTAGCGAGTCAGACCATAAACACGAAACGTTTACTGAGGAGTAACAAATCAAGTGACAAGTTAGCTTCATTTTTCCATAGACTTCAATACAATCGGACTTGTTTTTGCAATCAATGGAGTCACCACGATGGTCAGTCCGATAGAAAGCAAGTTCTGGCACTTCCGTATTGGCTTCATTTTTCCAGACCGCGCGTTGACGTCCATTTTTATTTACAATCTCATGAATCACATAGCTGTTTCTTAAATTATGTCAAGATAGTTAATCGATAGCTTTTTCCCTGAAACCAAAACAGGAAGTGAAAGCCACACGAGCCGCTCATTGTGCTGCGATGAAACCCGCTGATCTCTACACAGTGCCACAGACGCGGCGCTGATGTTGACGTTGGTTTCACGTGGAGGTAGAGATCTGCTGAATTCCCGCGCTGCTGTCCGGTCACTGCAGTCTGTTTCCTGTCAAAGTCACAAACATTCTCGTCTCTGTTAATATGGCGCGTTTTCCAAAAATGGAAAATATAGCCTTCAGCCTTGTATCGTTAACAGTCACTAAGATTTTACAGTTTTCTGGACTCGCATACAACAGGAATGACCTGAAGACCAAGAAGATGGAGGAGAAAGCGTTAGAAGTGTACGGTGAGTGCGGCCGGACCACCTACCGTGCTGCAGGGACGTTGTCAGTGAAGTTAGTGAACTACTTAATGTTTATTTAACGAGATAACACTCGAGAGCACTCAACAGTTCCTCGAATGAGTGTGTTATAACAGCAGACCAGACTCCATTCAAACATACGTTAAAATGCGCTTTCTTCGGTTCACTGACTGGAGACGATTCCAGAGAACACGGTTAAACTACTAAATAACTTGTAATACAATTGCGCAAAACAGCGCCGAATAAAACAGTTATGTGCCGAAGTGTTGCGTATATGTAATGAACGTAACTGAGGTGTATGAAAAGTAGTAATGACAAGGTGCAATCACTGAAGGAAAAGTTAAAATACATGATTTCAAAATGGAGTTTGTGTGTGGTTTGTGGTGAAGGGGTTACTGGTTGGTACTGAATCCTAATATACGATTTTCTCAATGAGTTTGACTCACGTGATCAACAAATCAGTCTGGTCTGATTTAGTGAATGGCATGTATTGGAACCACTTTCTAGTACCAAAACCCAAATAGATGATTTTACTGTATGGAGTTATGTGCAACTGTAGTAAACAGCACATACTGGGTTTTTTATTATTAAAGTGGATTTAACTAAAATAAGTGATTTTGTGACTTTGAGTTTTGGTGTGATTGGTATAAACAGCACATACGGGGATAAACAATGGGTGCTAAACGTAACATACTGGAGAATAAATAATTGATTTTATAATGCGAGTTTGGTTTTATTGGAGTGAACCAAAAATTTTGAATTTATACTGATGCAGAACTCAAATTAGATGATTTCCTGAACGGGAGCTTTGGTGTGTTTGTAGTTAACAGCACAAACTGGGACCTGGACTCATGCAGAACTAAAACAGATTATTTTCTGAATGGAATTTGGTTGGAGAGAGGTTCCCATTGGGACCAGTACTGGTACAGGACTTAGAGTTATAAACACCTAAAGGGACGAATATTATAGAACTCAAATAGATGATTTTCTGAATAGAGTTTGGTGTGCCTGATGTGAACTGCACATACTGGGACAGGACTGTTTTTTTTTCTGTAGATTTAGACACTTCTTATTAACCACTTAGTTTTCAATTTTAGACTTAAAGTTGGCCGTAGTTAAGAATGACACATCTTGTTTCCTGCTCTCCATCAGATGTGATTCGATCGATCCGGGACCCGGAGAAGCCCAACACCCTGGAGGAGCTGGAGGTGGTGACGGAGAAATGCGTGGAGGTCCAGGAGCTCGGCGAGGACGAGTATCTAATCATTATCAAGTTTTCTCCAACCGTCCCTCACTGCTCTCTGGCCACTCTGATCGGTGAGTCACCTGCAGCAGAGGTGACCCAGACAGGAGCTGGGTGATACTTTGGGTTTTATTGTGTTATTTCAAAAGGCTTTCAACGCACACACTCGCAGGTCAGCAGAAATTTCATACGAGGCGTTCAGGTTTATTCAGAGCTTCCTCAGATCATTGTCGATGAATTCAAAAGCCTCAGACGCTGTCGAGACACACAAACACTGCGTTGGTTCAGAAAAGAAAAACAACAAAAATCTGCTGGTTATATTTTTGGGCTCGCACTGTTCTCTGTCTTTTTCTCACGTTCAATCCGAAGTAACAAAAACCAGCACTTTACTAATAAGTTGTATAATTCTTCAGTTTACACCATTTCACCCACAGTAACACGTTCACCGTTAAGCCCATGATCCCCATTATTTAGTGGCAGTATTAAATGTTAAAGCTGATTGTTTTTTGCCAATTAGAAGGATTTAATTGTCCTCTGGTCAGGGGCGAACGGTCGTCAACCAGCAACAGGGAGACGGATTATTCAAACACCACTTAATGGAGCTTTTGAAAGAGCCCATACAACAAATTTAACCCTTTACTTGCACTAACTGACTCTAATATTCTGCTCCATGATTTTAAACATTTAACTTCCACTGTGTTTTTAAAGTTACTCAGGATATAAATGAAATAAACACTTATAAAATAGTATTTAAGGATTTATTCTAATCAATCTTTATATCTTCATAGCCCTGAACTAACATTAATGTGACCTTGTCTAACAAGGTATTTATTATTTTCATTATTGAATAATCTGCCAGTTATTTTCTAAATTAATCAATGAATTGTTTGATCAATAAAGTTCTATACAGCAGAGAATGACCGTCCCTGTTCACCAGAGACTGATCAGCTGACTGATTTAAAGAGGCTTGTTGTGTGTGACCACCGATCCAGAACCTAAAGAGATCCAACAGAACCAGCAAGTCCTCACATCTGAGAAGCTGGACCCAGTGAATATTTGATTTAAAAAGTGACTTAAATTAATACTTTCTGTCGACTAATGAATAAATTAACAAATTATTGCAGCTCTTATCATTTGCACTTCACCTCACATCTTATGGCTTCGTCTTTATTCATAATTCAGCTATTTCAGTCGTTACATAAACGCCTGCTGTGGCCTGATTAAAAACTCTTTAACCCTCTGCACTGCTGCGACAGTTAGCAGTTGTTTCTGAGCAGCTGATCTATTATCTGAAACTGAAAGTTTGACCCTTCACCTCAGTGCTGCTGTTGGTGGCGATCAGTCTAATCTGTCGGCAGCAGCAGTCAGAAGAATCAGTGGTTAAACTGGAGCTGGAACTCCTTCAGAAAGACACTGAGATCATGGAAATTCCTGCACCCATAAAACATCTTTTATTATTCATGTATTCAAATCCGTGTGACTCGTCTCCGAGTTCCCGTGTTATCGTGTGTGTTTGCAGTTATTTATATTCTTGTAATATTTGGCTGGAAAGCAGTTTTCCTCCGGGGAGACAAAACAAACAAACGCACAAAGAAAGAAAGAAAAAAGAGCTGGAGTTGAGATTGAAGCCTGAGCGACGACGGCAGGAAGGTGGATGTACACACAGTGAACTGGATTCAGGAAGTGTTTTATTCTCAGCGGCGTGCTCGGGCTCTCAGCAGGCTGAGTAACGCACATCATCCTCGTCTCTCTGCAATTAGACCCTTTAATTACTGACATTCACATTCGCAGTTTATAACTCCGTGTAACTGAGCCGGTTTTATAATGAGCGAGCAGCTCTGAGTCAGTCAAATACAAATGAACCTGCTGACGTCTTTAATGATGCTTCAACCTGGTAAATACAGGTAATGTTAAGTTAAATACAGGTAATATTAAGTTAAATACAGGTAATGTCATGTTAAATACAGGTAATGTCATGTTAAATACAGGTAATATTAAGTTAAATACAGGTAATATTAAGTTAAATACAGGTAATGTCATGTTAAATACAGGTAATGTCAAGTTAAATAACCGCTATGTTTTTATTCTCCTGCCGTTTTCGGGTTATCCGTCCGTCCCTCGCATTCTCATGGACACGATATCTCATTAACGCCTCGACAGAACTTCTTCAAATTTAGCACAAACATTCATTAGGACACAAGAATGAACTGATTAGATTTTGGGGGTCAAAGGTCAAAGGTGACCTCACAAAACACGCAATATCTCCGTAACACTTTTAGGGACCTTTTTTATATTTGGCACAAACATCCACTTGGACTCGAGGATGAACTGATTAGATTTTGGTGGCTAAAGGTCGAAGGTGACGGTGACATCGCAAAACACTTGGTAGCCATTACTCAAGACTTCACAGCGATTATGGCAAAATTTCACACAAATGGTTGATATTTTATATAACTCTGAAAAAACAGGGATGTACTGGAACTAGTCTGAGTGGCGGAGGGATACGACCTTCTGCCTGTTGGTTCCACTCAGCTAATATCAGCTGATGTGTCAGTCAGATGTTGAGTGCGGGGTGCCAGTGGACTCACCTATTATTCACTACCTGCACACAGCTTTTAGTCTGAGTGTGAATGAACTGACAGATTTTCCCAGAGGAGCTTGTTCTTAACAGGATGAATAACGGACATATAATCGCGGGGTCTCCTGAGGTCGGCGTGATCTCAGCCTCTCTCAGCCTTGACCGATCTCGGCTGCAGGCGTTCTGCTGCACTTTTCTTCAGCTCCACTGACGAGTCTGACTCGGCTGCTTGTTTTTCCTCCGTCATCTGTGATCAGTGTCTGACGGTGATGCTCTCTGTCTGCAGGTCTGTGCTTACAAGTGAAGCTGCAGAGGTGTTTGCCTTTTAAACACAAGGTGAGTATCAGAGCCGTTTTTAAAGGGTCGATGCGCCCACATCACAAACACACACTTTGCTTTCGTGATATCCAGTCATGCACATTATTTCATATTCACTGAGATATCTGCATCCACCTCAGTACAATGAAGGTGAAAGTTACAATTACATCAGACAAACAGACACGGCTGTGTAGGGATCATTTCTTTAGTAGAAAGTAGTTCCGGTTAATCTGCTGTTAAACATGGTTAACAGCAAGTTTAACAGCTGTTTGTTTCCCGAACTTTTTACCCTGAAGTTTAAAGTTGACTTTGAAACCCAAGGGTGAAAAACTAATCGAGGAGGAGGAGGAGGAGTCGACTGGACGCCTGCAGCTCGGTTCAGTCAGGACACAACTGCTGTTTCATTGATGATTCAGAGAGTGAAACTCTGAGAGCGGAGAGAGACAAAAGCACAATCAGCCAATTAGCTGTTTAGTTACCACCCAGCAGAGGTCAGGGCTGTCAGCAGTGTGTGTGTGGGCAGGTGGAGAGCTGTGTGCTTCGTCTCTGCAGCTTTAAAGCTGCTTCACAAACACGATGAAGAGCTTCGTGATTAGAGGAGAAAGCTGCAGAATATCTGCTCAGACCAATCACACCACAGTCCTGTCCACTTATTAAATGAAACAAGACTGGAGAATAATTCAAGCTTCACTAATTTATATTTTATATATTGATCGAACAAATGATTCTGTGATCCTCCGACATGGAAGAACCAGAAGCTGCAGTTCCTCTAACGACCACTAGAGTCTGGCTCCAACAGTGAGTCAGTCCCCATAGACTCCCATGTTAAAATGTCCAACTTTACAGCAGAAATAAACATGTTTACAGCCTGGTACAAAAACTGTTTTGGTCTCTAGAGCTGATTTCCTCCTTCATGACACCTGTTTATATAACTCACCTGTTTACATTTTATTAAGGACTACAGTTATGGAGGATTGAGGGCGTGGCCTCTTTGAGGTGAGCGTACACTTGAGACAAACCGTCATGAACCGGAGTCTCAGCTCCACACACGCCCCTCCTCTTTGACCATTTTTGGATTAGCTGGGAGTTAGGGGGTGGAGTCAAACACTGCCAAGATGGCGACGGCAGAGCAGCTCCCTCTGAGCTTCAGAAGCCGCTCTTCAGAAACCTGTGGGTGACGTAACAGAGGCGACGTCCATCTTTATTCACAGTATAGTCTAATATAGTATTTTGCCTCTAGCTCCTAGTTTTGGTTTTGCAGCACGTTTCCTGTGTGGATCAGCCTCAGGGTTTTTATCCACCGAGCTGAAGTAAAGCCAGCGTCCTCTGCTCCTCAGCTGCAGACAGACTGCGACACAGAGAGAGCCAGATATTTCCCTCGGGAGCGAGTGGAGACCAAACGCAGAGAGAAGAGAGAGGGAAGTGGAAAAACAGGAATAAATGTGCTGAGTTACTTTCCAACCACTGGCTCAACAGTGAAGTTCATCCACTGAGGAAAACACTTGTGTGTGTAGCTGTTTTGTGCTCGGGGCTCCGGCATGTTGAAAAGGACAAACACAAACTGTTGAAAGAATCTTTGTTTGCTGGAACATTTTTCCCTCAAACTGTGAGGAACAAACCCCCAAAGCTGCCGGTGTCCACACTGCTGTGATATAATTCTCTTTATATTCACATTTAAAGATGTTCTGTCACTGTTCTCCATTATTAATCCTCCTCCTCCCAACCAGGTTTCTTTTTCTCGTTCGCACTAAACCAACATTTAAAACACACTTTACTTTGTTCATTAAATTTCTTGAACAATTGCTGAATAAAAAAAAAAAAAAAAACACAGCATGCAATTCTGCCTTTTAACGTCAGCCATTTTTTCTTCCCTCTCTCTTCTCAGTTGGAAATTTACATTTCAGAAGGAACCCATTCCACGGAGGAAGACAGTGAGTCTGTGTTTTCTCTGCCTTTCATTTATAAGAGAAAATGGCTTCTTTAGATTTAACAACCTCCCCCTGACACAGTTTCCTGAGTCGTGACGGGTCCACTCGTCCGTCAGCTACAAACACGGTCAACAAAGTGTCTGTGGAAGAAACATTAATATTCATGGTCCTGTAGAATGTCTCCTCTATCACATTCTTTCCTCTTCTGCAGCCGTCCGGGTGGAATGTCACCTCTGCATAAAAGATGTCTCCTAATTGAAAAGAAGGATGTTCATGAGACTTGTGGAGCGTGATGGTGTTCACATTTAGGTTTTAATGAGTCTCCAGACCTTTTCTGTGACGTCCAGAACACAATCCAAATGTTGGTGCTGGAATTCATCACGTCAGAAACTGAAAACGTTTATTTTTTGTTCCGTCTTTGAAAAAAATCTCACCCACAAATATGTGGAAACAGAGAACGCTCATGAAACCCGGAGGACAGAGCAGTGATTTCAACCATGTTTTGTTTTTTATGTAAAATTCATGAAGGCATCGTCTGGGAGTTTTGTCTGTAACATCAAAACTGCCAGTTTTTCTATTTCCCAAACTCGGGTAACGACAAAGTTTTCTTATCAAATATCTTAACATTGCTGCTTTTCTGCAGACGACATCAGTCTGTGATGATCATGAATCACTTTGCACGTTTGGATGTAAAACTGGTGCAACGCCGGCGAGGCATGTGACACTTCGATGCACGTCATTTGCCGCCACTGTATCTCCCTTAAGAGTTTCCATCAGGCGTTTCCATCCAGCTGAGTTACTTAAGGGTGTTGCACAGAACCTTTTAAAAGCTTTCTTTAGTTAAGGAAAGAAAGTTGATGCATTTGCAGCAATGAAAGAGTTCTGTTTCCATGGAGACCACTGATTCGCTGCCATTAGCACTTGTGACACCTGCACCACTCTCTCATCCTCCTGTTGTTTTGAAGGGAACTCGACCAAAGAGAACTTTGATCACTAAGGTGTTTGTGCAACAATTTAACTTTAAGTGATTCCTGAAGTTCAAGACTTAAGATAAGGAGAAAACCTTAATGCTTAAGGAGAAACTTTCCTTAAGGGTGTTTTGTCCAAGGAAAGTTAAAAACTTAGTTAAATTGTTGCACAAAACGCTTCAAGTGTTTCCTTAAGTACAAGACAAGATAGATAAGGAGAGAAACCTTAAAACTTAAGGAGAAACCTTTAGGGAATTTTGTGCAGCTGTTTTTATTTTAAGGAAACCTTAACTCAGACTTTAAGGAAAATCATAACTTAAGGTGTTTTGTGCGACCTGCCCCAGGGACTGAGTTTACTTCCTGTTGGGCAAATGGGAACAAATTTAAAAAGCCAAAAATTAAATAATGATTATTTTGAACAGTGTCGCAATAGTGGAGCTGCTGTGTTGTTAGTGTAGTGTGTGTGTGTGTGTGTGTGTGTCTCGGCTCAGTGAAGGAATCAGCTGTTTGTGTCTCCAGTTAACAAACAGATCAACGATAAGGAGCGAGTGGCGGCCGCCATGGAAAACCCCAATCTGAGAGAGATCGTGGAGCAGTGCGTCATCGAACCCGACGACTGAGCAGGAAGACACGCCCACATGAAGCAAACACCCTGGAGCCACTGTGTGTGTGTGTGTGTGTGTGTGTGTGTGTGTTCGGTGTGTGTGTGTGTGTGTTGTGTGTTCGATGTGTTGTGTGTGTGTGGTGTGTGTTGTGTGTGTGTGTGTTCGGTGTGTGTGTGTGTGTGTGTTCGATGTGTGTGTGTGTGTGTGTGTGTCCACGGTGCCTGAGGATGTTTTTTTACAGGATTCCCGAGCGTGTCTCTGATGCAGAGACTCGTGTCGGCTCTGGGGAGTTTGGTGGATTTCATCTGAAGCGTCTCCAGTGAAGAGTGTGAACTGAGCGGTGAATAAAACCCGGGATGGAGGCCGGCATAAAAGCGACAGATGTGTGTTGACTTTCCCATGATTCCCTGCTGGAAGGCGTCGCAGTGAAAGTCTTTGTTGCCGTCTGCAGAGGAAACAGGAAACGCCTCGTGTCCTACTTCCACTTCATCCTCCATCTCACTCTTCATTCACACGGACTCTGGAGGGAGCGACGCTGCGGCGGCTGAGTCTCCGCTTCACGCAGGAGAAACCTGCAGCGAGATGTTTCACGTTTTCCTGTGGCCACTGTATTTACCAGTCTGTCCTTTTGTAAATGCGCTCCGGTGAATCACCGCCAGCCCGAGTCCGTCTGAGCAGAAGTATGATTCTTTAGATGTGATTATTTTTAAAATAATAAAACAGATGTAATGTACAAAGAGATCATTTATTAAAAAGCTGCGTCTCGGTTGTGTTTGTCACGAGCTCTGAGTGTTTTCTTCTTCTTCAGTCAGAGCCGTTTAAAATGTCTCTTCAACACAATAAGCTCAGACGTTACTTCAGCTGTGAGCGCCTGCAGGGTTCCTTCACCGAGATGTTGTTGTGACCATGTCGGTTGATGGTGTTCAGGTTCATCTGGAAACAGAAAGCCCTTAGTTTGAAAGATGTGGACATTTTCCTGTAAGGAACACGCTCTTAAGAAAAGAGACGCAGACAAGTTGCATTATGGGAAGCGTAGGATCCAGTGTTTTTGGAGCTTAAACACATTCCAGGATCTCAAACATGGCAGCAGTATTTTTGTGGACAAATTGAATCCTTCCTTTTTAAATGCAATTAATTTTTAAAGCCAATTTTTTAATGTTGCTTCAGTTGCATTTTCAATTCATTCCCATTGGAGATTTACCTGAGGGAAAGAGTTATTGTTTAACCCTCTGAGGTCGATGGATGTTTCTATTAATATCTTTGTGATAATAAAGTGTAGAAATGTGGTTTAAATGTCGTTAGAATCTGTCGACTCTCCACTTTCTCTTACACATCCGTACGAGGGTTAGTACGTGACTCACAGCCTCGAAAATTTGGTTTAAGTATAGTGACAGACGACACTACGATATATATTACAAAATTCACTCTCAGGCATTTATCTACTATTTCACTCACATGTTGCACTATTTTTATGAACCTATAGACTTTGGTGAATCCACTTCAAGCACCAAAAACAATCCACCCACATCAGTAAAGGTTTGTTTTCACAAGAGATTTGAACAATTTGAAAAGCCATCTCTCTGCTCTACGACAGAAAGGCGCCTCATTACTGAAAGAGCTGATTGTTCTGAGCGTGGTGATATAAAACTCTGGTATTATTTTATATGCAAGTATCATGTAAAAGGTTAATTAAAGAAATGAGAACATGCCCTCTGACCTCAGAGGGTTGCAGATAACTCATTTCTTCACATGGTTAAAAGCTGAGCGCCTCCTCACAGACAGATTCAGGAGTCATAGCTCTGCTGAGTCGTAACGACCTGTGTTCACCTGTTGGGGGCACTGTTGGTCTGAACCAAAGATCCTGACGGGAGTGAGCGGCATGTGAGAGACGATGCTGCTGCTGGTGCTGATCCATGTCTTCATCAGAGATACAGATACACTGAGCATGAATAAAACACTCGGATTTAAGTTCCCGCTGAAGTTTCTGGACAGAGATCAGAGTCTGGCCCAGAATTTAAATCAGAAGTGTGTGTGTGTGTGTGTGTGTGTGTGTGTGTGTGTGTGTGTGTGTGTGTGTGTGTGTGTGTGTGTGTGTGTGTGTGTGTGTGTGTGTGTGTGTGTCAGTTGATCGAACAGCATGCTCACTAAAACCACTCTGGTTTCTGGGTTGAGTCCTGCAGACTCTGACATGGTGGAGCAGGTTGACAGGACACAGAAGAAGACTGGATTCTCCTGAACCTGCAGTCAGCTGTTTGAAGATTGTTTTGTTGTTGTTGTTGTTTTAAAGAAAGTACAACTTGTGCATCAATAATGTGAAAACAGATTTGTATCTGTCCTGATTTTAAACACTATTTGTTGCTGTAGTTGTTCTGTGCTGAAGATGAGGAGGAATCTGTGAGCAGAGCAATATCTTAGACTCAGTTTTACCAAATACTCTCAGAAATTTCCATAATTTTATCCACTAGGCTGGTTTTGTATTTTCCTTCTGTGAGTTTCAGTTCACATCAAGAAGCTTTTAAATCACATTATTATAGAGACTTGGAATTTACTTCAGGTTGGAATCCAACACAGTCAATTAATTTTTTTTGTCATTTTATTTTTACCAACTTTCAAATTTAATTCCCCACCGATGGGAGTTTTTTAAAACAGCACCTTGACCGCATGAAGACTGTAGCCATGCTAGCAGCTCTGTGAGTGTTCGAGCTAAATGCTAACTTCGGCATGCTAACACGCTCACAGTGACGATGCTATCATGCTGAGGCTGATGGGAACGTCATGTCAGTTTTGCAGGTGTTTGCTCATTCAAAAAAGTATTGGATAAATACAGATGTTGACCTGTTGATGGCGCTAGAGGAAAAGTGGGGCTAAAAAAGGAACTAGTTTCTGTTACATGACTGAAATAAGGTCTGTAGTTTAACTCAAACTCAAGACATTTTCGGGTTTTATTCTACAACATGAAATATGTCGGTAAATACCCCAGGCCTGATTCCTTTAAGCTTTCATGTCTGTTAACGAGTGTCTTAATGAGACTACAGAGGTTGTTGGGGACGTTAAACGTCATCATGTTGAAGTTTAGTGTAGAGTGACCAGACGACCCCGTTTTCTGGGGACAGTCCCCATTTTTAGTGGCCTTTCCCCGAGGGGGCTAGCTGCTAGCTGTAGCAGCTTCAGAAAAGAAGCTAAAACCATGAAAATAGAGTTATCCACTCAGATTTGTCTTTTTTCTTTTTTGATACATCTAGGCAGAGAAAAAGTCAGCTGGCTCAGTCATTGGTTCGGAGTTCATAACCGGGCAGTAAACTAATGACAACAAACATACCCAAAGCCCCACCAGTCAGAACTTGAAAAAATAGTGAAGAAGAAGAAGTCCAACTGTCTGCAGTGGACTATGATAATATAAATTGAGGAATAGATAGAGACAATCAGACTTAACGACTGCTTCAAAGGTAGGGAGTCGTCGTTTTATCAGTCGTCCATCACTCTAGTTTATTACAGTACAATGTTGCCATGGTCAAAATTCATGAAGCTAGGACTGTCCCCCTCTTATATTTCATAGGTGGAAACATTTGATATTTTAATGATTTATTGATCGAGCTGGAAATGTCCCGGTTTTCATTTCAGAAATCTGGTCACGTTAGTTTAGTGGTGGTGACGTTGAAGTCATGTGACTGTGATGTAGCTGGTTTATAGCCTAACAATAGCTTTTTACCTGTGCTGATTGTAGTTAGGCTTCAAACACCATAAAGAGTTGTTCATTAGTGAAGATGAACATCTATCAGTATCATAAACTGTTGTTTGTCACAGAGTCGATGTAAAAATCTTATTGGCTTTTTAATGGAGGGAACCAGGGAGACGCCGACTTCCACACATCTTCCCTGCAGCGCTCTGTAGCTTGGCATAAACACAGGGAAACAAAATGTCCTTCCTCATGGACTCCAGTGCAACATAAAGCAGACATATAAACAACACAGTCTGATGGGTTTTACATCAGAGGAAGACGACCAAATACTAAATTAGGAGGGAAACTTAAACATGTCAAATCACTGTCTTTCAGGCTTCATACGATCAGGCAAAAACCTGAGGTTGGATTCATCCGTCCTTCCAGCCACATCTGCTCTTTGCTTGACCACGTGCTGTAGTTTTCTTTCTCAGTGTAGCAGCTGTTGGTCATTTGGTTCAGTTTCTTATTCTGAATTTAAAAAGGAGTGGAAACCACAGCTCACCACACTGGCACTGACCAGCTCAGCGCTCCCAGGGTTCAGTGTGATGGATCACCTGTCACGAGAGCAAGGTCTCTGCAGGTGGATTTGTGCCCTGCTCATGCATCGCTGCAGGAATCCAGTCGGAATACTGTTTGGAAAATGTTCGTCAACAATGTAGAATGAAAACGAGTTTGTAGCCTCTGATTTAATCATCAGTTTTCCATTTGAGACTTTGAGGATTTTTAAGTCACAGGTGTAAATCACCTTCAGAACAGATCATAAATCAAACTGTGTTTTTCGAAAGACATTTCCAAAATCCTGATTGAATCTTCCCGACTGTGAACCAAAGATTGTAATCAGCAGTGTCATTTCCTTGTCTTACTCCACACTTTACCCGAACTGAAAGCTTTCTTATCACATTCATTGATCTTCTTCACTCTTCATCAGATGGAATATTCTGGAGTAAATAAATGAAGTGCTCATCAAACTGCTGCTGCTCATAATACTTCCTGTGTGACTGCTACACATATGGAGTTCACCTTATGAACGGTACAATGCTTCCTAACACACACCTGGAGTGCCGTGTACATGAAACCGGCAGGTACCAGCCTAGCAAACAACTGGCATCACCATAACAACCAACTAATGACATCTTAGCAACCACCTAGTAAACGCATGGGAACGCCCTCGAACAGAGGTCAGTGAGTGAGTCTGTCTTTCTAATCCATTAGATGGCTCAGAACATAATTAAGGCTAATTAAAGAAACTGATTGATTAAAAACTGTTCTCATGTGGCCACAGTCACATATTAAATGCTTGATTTCAGAGGTATGTCAAACAAGCAACCGTTGGAACTTCCTGTCAGAACTTTTTCAGAATAAA